GATGGCCAGCCGCTAGCAGAGAATCAGCATCTGGATTATGATGCTTCTGAAACGTCCCATCAGAGACGGATCCCCCCGAGGCCACCCCCGCCACAGCAGTCATGTGACCCCCGTCCCAAATCACAGCTATGCAGCGGTTTAGTCTGCAGTGTTTTTGGGCCGAACAGCACAGATCACATGAGATGAATCAGGTATATGACCTAAAAATTCACTTTTTGCATCACAAGCTTCTATTCTGTTCTTAGATTTGGAAATGCGGTGGAAGCTTTGGTCTCACATACATTTCTACAATTGAAAAACAGTGCAATTTAAATGCCCTCAATGGTCACATGGTGGGGGTTGTAAAAGATTTCCCAGAGTTCAGTGGGAGAGCCCACATGCAAATCTCTGATGTGCTGCAATGTGACCAATAGAAGAGCTGACAGATTTCAGTGACATCACAAAAACAAAAGACTGGTGATGACATCACTGCATGAAAAGACTCAGACTCATTATGTGTGTAAAAACACTAAAATTAACATCCAGACTCAGTCTGTCTCTTGGTGCTGGTACGTGTGTTTACCTGTTTGTGATCAGGATCCCTGTTGCCATAGTAACAGTCAGGCCTTTTTGAAATGGCACAATCAAACCATTGTGTCGCTTCCCTGCATAGTAAATTCCACATTGTCACTATGTGCAGCGTCACCGTGGAGATGAAGAACATCACCATGGTAACAAAAGAACATTGTAGGTTAAAGCTGATTGTCCTACATTCACACAGTCGAAGAGCGAAAAAAGAAACAATGTACGTTTCAGGCCAAAATTGGCAGAGAAAGAAAAAAATAATGAAATTTTGCATTTGTATTTTAAATCAGCATAAAGAATGTAAAAAAAAGAAGGAAAAAAAACAGATTTGCATGCAGAGAAATGCTAAACATTAATATAAATGTTCAAAGTTTGGGGTCAGAAAGATTTTTTTATTACTTTTATCAAGGATGCATTCAATTGATCAAAAGTGACAGTAAAACATTTATAATGTTAATTATATAATATTAAATTAAAATGTTTTCTAAGCTATTTTGTGTGGTAATTAAACGTTTAAAAACATGAAAAAGGATGCATTGTGTTGATCAAAAGTGACTGTAAAGACATCTATAATGTTGCAAAATATTTCTGTTTCAAATAAATGCTGTTCTTTTGAACTTTCTATTTATCAAAGAATCCTGAAAAAAATTAATGCATCTCAGTTTCCACAAAAATATTCAGCAGCACAACTGTTTTCAACATTGCTAATAATCAGAAATGTTTCTCGAGCAGCAAATCAGCATATTAGAATGATTTCTGAAGATCATGTGACACTGAAGACTGGAGTAATGATGCTGAAAATTCAGCTGCGCATCACAGAAATAAATTACATTTTAAAACATTCACGTAGAAAACAGTTATTTTAAATTGTAATATTTCACAATATTACTATTTTTTTATCAAATAAATACAGCCTTGGTGAGCAGTAGAGAATTCTTTGAAAAACATTAAAATATATCTTACTGACCCCAATTTTTTTAGCATTAGTGCAAGTCAATTTACTAAAATTTAAGCTCATTTTCTTAGTGTACATTTGTATGATATTGTACAATTAAACAACAGCTGAAGGCGTTGAGTTTTGAGCTGAATTCATCACAGAGAAGAATTGTGTAAAGCAGGTAATGACAGCACTAAGATGTGTTTGTGTGTGTCTGTGTCCTAATATTACCTCAGCATCAAAAGAATAATTAGACGCATCAGTAGAGCTGCTGCAGTGTTTTCCCTCAGGTAATAAAGTATAATGTGTGTATGTGTTTCTCAAAGGATCGTGCACAGCAGCAGAAGAACAGCTCAATGTGTTAATAAAAGCACTCCCAAAGAGTAAGGCCTTACTGATTAAATAGTCATGACATGAGCAGGTCTAATGTCCATTACACTGGAGACAAACACTAAAACACACTCACTGCAGTGAATTGAGTGCATGTTTGGGTGTGTTTTAATAAATGTCAGGGTTTTACTGTAATGTACTTTTTTTTTGGTTGCAAATGACCGACAATATTCTTTCAAAAGGAAATAGTTCACTCAAAAAAGAAATTTTGCACAAAAAGTGAATGGGTGCCGTCAGATTGAGAGTCCAAACAGCTGATAAAAACCATCACAATAATCCACAAGTAATCCACAGCACTCCAGTCCATCAGTTAACATCTGGAGAAGACAAAAGCTGAAACTAATCCAGCATTAAAGGGGTCATATGATGCTTTTTTAAAGATCACTATTTTGTGTATTTGGTGTAACAGAATATGTTGACATGCTTTAATGTTCAAAAAACACATTATTTTTCAAATACTGTACATTATTGTAGGTCCTCTATGCCCCGCCTCTCTCAAACGCTTCGTTTTCTACAAAGCCCCTCCTTCCGACAAGCGCAGTCTGCTCTGATTGGCCAGCTAACCCAGTGCATTGTGATTGGCCGAACACAGCAAGCACTCGTCGGAAATGTAACGCCCCTTACCATAATCACGAGCTTCATCTTTCAAAATAAATGTAAAGACAGTAAATAATGTCATTAGTTTTACCATCAGTTCAAGCCCGAAAGGGCAACAGAGTCGCCTGACAGACGCAGTGATGATGCAGTACACAAGCCGCGGTTAAGACAGCTGACGTGCTATGATTTCTGACAGGCAGTTCACTCTCCTGTGATGTGACCCTGTTCCCCTCACACACACACACACACACACACGATGCGCAAAACTCCGCATTTAAACAGTCAATAGCAAATACTTAAACTAATAACAAAACAGAAGCTGATTCAGAA